TTGCTCTTGTGCCGAGGATAATTCCTCTTTTTGTCGGGTTAATTCCGCAATTTGAGTAAGATAATTATTGACGTCGGCTTGTAATTTTTCTAAATCCTGGCTTAATTGTTGGTTAGCAGTTTGCTTGGTTTGGAGTTTATTTTTAGTTTGCTGATAATTTTTTAGGGCTGCTTCTAATTGGTGGTGTAAATCAGTGTTTAGGCGGATTAATATTTCATTTTCCCGTTCTTGCTGGTTAAAATTATCTTGTAGGGTTGATTTTTCTTGTCGTAATTCGTGGCATTTGGTTTGAAGACTTTGGGTTTTCTTTTGCTCTTTGCTTAATTGTTCGCTCGTTTTTTCTAGGTTGTCATTTAATTCTTTTTCCTTTTTATTTTTAGTCGCAGCAGTAAGAGCATGGGCGTCCTTTTCAGCGGCTAGGGCATTCTGGGTGTCCTTATGAGCATCTTGTTCACGGGTTAATTCTTCCTTAACTGCTTCGTGTTCCTTTTCAGCAGCAGTTTTTTCTCTCTTGGCCTCGTTGTAGGCCTTTTCCACATCATTTTTCTCTGCCCTAATTTCATTCAATTCTTCGCTTTTTTGGGTAAATTCAGCCTCTGTGGCCGTTATTTTTTCGGTCAAGTCAGTAATTTCAGCATTTTTTTCGGTCAATTTTGTTTCTAAACCTGCTTTTTCCTGCCGTATTTTTTCAATTTCCTTATTCTGAACAGCCAATTTTTCTTTAATATCCTCGTTGTTTTCCCCGGCAGAGCATGTATGTTTTTTTCATTTTTCTAACTCCTGCTGGATTGCTATTAATTTTTCTTTGAAATCGCCTTTTACTTCAATTCCCAAGACATTTTTCAAAGCGTTTTCTATGGCATTAACTTCCCCCTCTCGCAAAAGTAAATCGCGCGCTTTTGCTTCTATCTCCTCTGCTTTCTCTTCAATTATTTTTTTTTCTTCTTTAATTAATTGAAAATTCCTCTCTATTTGAGCGGTCAAATTATCATAACCCTCCTTGTATTTTTTGACCTCATTTTCCTTTTCTAATTCCCATTTTGCTCTCTCTCTCTCTCTCTCTCTCTTTGCCATGTTTCCTCTGTCTGTTTCATTAAATTAGCAGCAATTTCCCCTTTCTCTTCTTCAAATGACTCCTCCTGGGTTTTTAATTTATTATCAAAACTTTTCTGGGCTTGCTTGTAATCTTTTTTTAGGCTGGCAATTTGATTTTGGAGTTTGGTGTTGACCTCATTAGCATCAAGCATTTTTTTCTCGGTTTCAGCCAGTTGTTCGGCCGTTGGTCGTTTTTCTAATTCCTTAATTTGGGCTTTAATTTTGGCCTTTTCAGCAATAATCCTGTTAATTATTTCTTCTTCGTCTTCTTCATAACCGGAATCTTTTCTTCTATTTGCTAATTTCTTATTTTCGGCTCTTAACCGGCTGATTTCAGCGGTTTTTTGGTCAATTTCTTCTTTTTGAGCGATTGTTCGTTTTTTTAGGTCCTCATTTTCATTAATTAAAGCGTTTGCTGCCTGGTTAGCCTCGTGGCTGGTTGTTTCTAATTTTTGTTTATTTTTTTTAACTTTGTGGTATGTTGTTCGTTTAACTGGTTTTTCTATTATGGCCATATGTAATTTTAAATTTTAATTTTTGTATATTATAATTTTATATATATTAATTATGATATCTAAATATGAATATCTTTTTTAAAATTTTTAAAGCGAGAAGATGCTTTTTCTAGCCGGTTCTGTCTCGTGTAAATGTAGATTAATATATTGTTAAAATTAACAGAAGTTTTTTTCAAAAAAACCCAATAATTAGAGCAACTGGCAACTCACAACTTACTCTAACCTTTCCAAGTTTGTCTATATTTAAATTTTATATATAATCTTTTTCTGAATAGTAATCTTTATAAAATTATTACATATGACATGAAGCAACTCCCTAACTGACAGCAAAGAGAGAGAGAGAGAGAGAGAGAGAGAGAGCAGAAATGCGAAGTATTGAAAATGCGAGCATTACCGAAGGTCAGAGAGAGCAAAAAACGCTGACTCTGAATAATTGGTGGAACATTAGCCCTAATAATCATTGGCACCATTATCTATTTCATCTGACCGAAAAAAAACACTGAAACTCCAACCAAATCTCCTTCTGATAATCCTTTACCTAATCCTAACATCCAATACTTACCCAACGAAGAACAAGCCCAACAAAAAATAAACCAAATAAAATCCTCTAAAAACCTGGATGACCAACAAGCCACCATCGAATTCTTAACTTCCTATGTCCCCGAAATTAAATGGTGAGACATCACTTCCCTAACCGAATTAGATGAAAAAGTAAAATTAGTAAATAGTAAAACAGGCTTTCCTCCATTTAAAGAAATCCCACCAATAGTTAAATTTAACCAAGAAACTAGCCAAAATGTAACTTACAAGGGATTAACTTTCTTTGCTTCTGTTATCCCCCGAACTGACGGAAATATTGACTGAAAGGGCTTAGATTTTGATACTTACTGCGAAACTATTTTAAAACCTTTACTAGAAGGAAGGAAATTTAAACCTACTTTTGCCACCCAAGCCAACTATCAAGAACTAGAACGAAGAATTAAGGAAGAAATAAATCCGTTGTTATCCTCTTTATGTTCGCAATTTTCTTCTTTGAGTAATACTAATGATTTAAATGCTTTATTGGATAACTATTTAAGCAAGATTTTTCAAGGGCTGGTTTACGCGGAGGCCATTCATGACGAATTAGGGAAGCAATTGGGAATTACTAATCATAAAAATTATAAATTGCAACATACTAGTAATCAGTCGGCTAATGAAGAATGAGAAATTGCTTTGAATGAGTTTGTTTTTAAGGGTAAAAGTCCGGAGCCTGGTGATAATTCCGAGGAGGACCCAAATCCTCATCCATCCAATAATCCAGTTATTAAAGAATTTCAACAAAAGGCCCAAGAGATTAAAGAATTATTGAAACCTTGTGAAAAGTTAATCAAATCTATTGAAGAAGTCAAGAAAACCAAAGAAGATTTAAAAAGCCAGTTGGAAGAAAAAAGAAAAAGAGAATTAAACCCTGACGGCACCGATAATCTTACCTCCATAGCAACCAAAAAACAAATAGCCAAAGTTGAATTAGAAATTACCAAAATTGAAAATAGCGGATTATTTCACGAAATAGAAACTGCAAAAATCTATCTCGCTAATTTTGCTAGGGATATAATTAACTTTGAGAATGAATCAGAATTTATGAAAAAGGACATTGTGGCTCGCTGAAAAAGAACGCTTGCTGATGACACTAAAAACAAAATTTCCAAAACTCAGAAAAATTTAGAAGACTTTTATAACAATAAAAAATGAGAAGAGAAATAAAAATATGACAGAGTTAAGAACATTACAAAAATACGATAATTGAAAAAAAGCCAAAAGCCACCGAAAAACTTGAATAGCCTTATTAGCCAATTTAATCGGCTTACCCCTGGCCCTCCTACTAACCTGAGGAATTTTACAAGTCGGAGTAGGAAGTGCCTGAATGCTTATAAAAACCTCTTTTGCCAGCAAAGAAAAGATAGTTGAATATATCCCGAAAATTGAAGAAGTAGACAACAAGTTAAAAAGTTCCGTGTTAAGTAAACCGATGAATTGACTTTCTAAAAAACACGAAGAAGAAATTAAAGCCAATACTCATGATTTAGGGATACTAACTATTAAACCTTCTTTGGAAAGTTCTGTAAAAAGTTATGCCGGAATACTAGTTGGTGTTTGATTCTTAACCGTATCGGTATTCTGAATAATTTTCGCCTGATTATCTTACTGGATAATTGGCAAGTTTATTTGAAAAGAACCAAAATTAGTTGAAGGAGAAATTTAGAGACCAATTTTTTAGTCAATTTCCTCATCAGTAAAAAAGTTTTCATTTAAACTATTAATTTTTTCTTGTCATTCCTCTTTACCAAAAAATTGTCCCTCAAAACGATTGGCTAATCGGGCTACATATTTGATATCATCATAAGTCATGGCTCTATCACCATGTAATTTATGTTTCAAATTTTCCACCCCGACTAATTTAATCTTGGCGGTTGGATGTTTATTTCAGACTTCTTCCAAAGTTGGCATATTGACATAACCCCCGCGACTACGGGAATTTTGAAAGACATAATTAATCTTATTGCCATCTACCCGCACTCCTTGGTCCATTTCATCCCGACCAAGGGAATAATTTAACAATTCCTTTCAGGCTTTTTCGTGAACTTGACCTTTTTTGAATTCGACTTTCCTTTTGGTTTCTCGGGCTTTATCAGCAATTTTCTGGGCTTCTTCTTCGTCCTTTCTTACTTTTTCTTCTTCTTTTAAGCGGTTTAATTCTTCCTCGGCTTTCTTTTTCTCGGCATTTAGTTTATTTTTAGCCTCTTGTAATTCTTTTTCGTTGTTTTGCTTTAGTTTCTTTAACTCATCTTCTCAACGTTGTTTTTGGTCTTGGAGATTTCTTTCATTTTCTCTTCTCTCATTTTCCAAGGCTATTTCTCGTTCTTGCTGTTGTTTCAATATCTTTTGTCTTTCTTTTTCATCTTCCGCAGCAATATTTTTTAATTTTTCCTGGGTTTCTTTTTCCAAGAGTTCTTTTTGCTTCTCTAATTGTTCCTTAGCAAACTGATTTTGCTTTTCCAGGTTTTCAATATCTTTTCTTTTTTTCTCCTCGGCTAACTCGGCTTCTTTTTGCTGATTATTAAAGGCTTCTTGCCGGGCTTGCTGTTGTTCTTCAATAATTCTTTTCTGATTGGCTAAATGAGTTTCTTGTTCTTCTTTTAGGGCTTTTTCCCGGGACGCTTTTTGTTCTTGCCGTTTCTTTTCTTCTAATTCGGCTAATTCTTTTTCCCGTTTTCTTTGTTCTTCCTGTTCTTTGAGTTTGCGGTCTTTTTCGGATAATTTTTCTTCTCGTCTTTTTAATTCGGCTTCTTCTAGTTTTTTGCGGGCTTCCTCTCGCTCCAATTTCTTCCGTTGTCGTTCGGCTTCTTCTTTATCTAAATTAGTCAGTAAGTCATCATAACGGGAAGTTGAAGGAGTATTTGTCTGCTCCGCAGTTTTTTCTAATGCTTGGTTCTCTAATTCCTCTTCACTATCATAAAACACTTCCTTTGGTTGATAACCGGCTAAGGCTTGATTAATTTTTTCATTTATCAGTTCTTCAAGATTTAAATCCTTAAATATTTCTCGTTCTTTTGGGTTTTGGCTGGAAGCATATTTTTCTCAGATAGTTTTATTGATGGTTATTTGGACTTCTGTTAGAGAATTTAAATATTCTTGATAATATTCTTTTAATCAATCATTTTCCTGTAAAAACTGCTCCCAAGCACTAATCGGAATAAGGGATTTTTGGTTAATTTGTCCTCAGGCTTTTACTAAGTTATTAAATTTGATATTACTGTTGGGATATTTAGTTAAAAGAGTTGATAATTCGGCGTATTGTTGATGGGAAAGCAGTGTGTCATTAGATAAAGTTTTAATTGCTTTTCTAACGGCTTCTTTTTGGTCTTCTTGGCTATTATCTTTTCAAGTATCTAAAATAGTTAAAATTTGGGTCTGGTATTCTTCTATTGCCAATTGATCCTGCTCGGATAGTTCTTGACTTTGCCAAGTTAAAGAAGTAAAATTCTCTACGGCAAAAATTAATATTTCCCAGAAGTGGTAGCGGGGAATAGTTTTTAATCCGCAAGTTAATAATATATCCCTTTGTCAACCTTTCAAGGCTCCAATTTTTACATACTCTTCCAAATTTAAATTAAACTGGGTTTCGTCCTGATTTCCGTATCACTCTAATAAAGAAGTAATTATGGATTGCTTATTGGCTAATATTTCTTCGGCTCGTAATTGTTTTTCTTGGGCTTCCCGTTCTTTTCTTAATATTTTTTGTTCTCCTCCAAGAAAACTAATTTTTAAAGGCAAATAAGGGCTTTTTATTTCGCCGAAATCTAAATTAGGATTAGGGATTATTTCTTCATTTACTAAAAAGTTTTGACTACTTGGTTTTAATTCCAATTTCCTTACTATTTGTAAACCATCCTCGGAATATTTATCTTCACGAGTTAAAGGGGCTAGGGCTTGGAGAATATTTTTTTGCTGTTCGTTTAAAGGAAAGATGCGAAAAGTATCAGGGTGTAAATTAATTAGTTGAGTTTTTTGTTCCTCAGTCAGTATCACTCTGCTCAAACCTGCTTTTAGTAATGGTTGTTTTTGATCTTCCTCAATTACCCACTCGGAAGCATTGAAAAATCTTACTCCCACTTGTTCTAATGCTTGCTGTTGCTCTTTGGTTAAATCTAATTCATTAATAAACATTCGGAGAATATTTTCTTTTTCTTTGAGAGTTAAACCAAAATTGGCTTTTTCTTGGTGGAGGGCATGATTTAATTCTACTAATTGTCCTTTTTTATTGAGAGTATTAATGCCTAAACTGTTAAGTCCGGAATTAACTAGCCTTAATTTTAAGTCTTGGCTGAAATTAGGGAAATTTTCGATTATTTGCTCTCTTTCATTAATAGATAAATATTGGGCTTGGGAAGCCAGAAGAGCAAATTTTTTGACAGTTAAATATAATTGACTAATAATTTCTAATTCTTCTTCACTAGCAGAGGGCAATTTATCTAACTTATTCAAAAGCAAAGGACTGGTGGTTTGGTTTTTGTTATCTTCTAACGCTTGGCTGAGTAATTTATCGGCTTTTTCTAATTCTTTTAAAAGGAGGGATTTTTCTTTAAAGTCGGGATATTTTTCATAGATTTTATTTCAAGTCATTGGTGAATCACCCAAATTTTCCTGGACTGCTTTTAGTTTTTCTTCAAGTTCCGTGGCCTTTTGTAAATTTTCGGCCTTTTTTTGGATTTCTAATTCTTTTTGGTAGGTTTCTTCTTTGATTTGAATAACTGTTTTTAAATCCTCTAATTGTTGGGTTTTTAATTCTCCTGAATTAGAGAAAATGTTGTATTCATCTATTATTGATGGCTGACTACCAGCCTGAATATTTTTTCATTCCTCTTTGGTGATATTATTTTCTTGACAGATTTTTTTCGTTTCTTGCTGATAAAAAGTTTCTATTTTGGCTTTTTCTTGCTGTTTCTGATATAAAGTATAGCCGTAAATACCCGCAATGGCTAAATTAAAACCAATTACAGACGGTCATTTATATTTTTCCTGTTCGGGGGCGGAATATGCCAAGACATTTCCCATGACATAACCGATTATTAAGAGATATTTATTTCATAATTCGGCATATTCTCGCAGAGTACTGCGGTAATAGTAGGCAATTGCTAATAGGATATTAAGAACAATTAGGCCAGTTAAGCCATTTTTCTTATAAACAATATACTCCATTAGAAAAATTATTAAAAAAAGCATTCATTTTGTCATCTGCTTTTGCGAAGCCGCGACAGTTTGCTCCATTTCTTTTAATTGTTGAGTTAATTCTTCTAGTTTTTTGTCCGTTTCATGTTCTTGTTGTTCCTTCTCTTCTTCTTCCTTTTCGGGTTGTTCTTGGAGGGCTTGTTTAGATAAGTCTTGAATTTGACTTCATTGCTGCTGAACTTCTTCCTGCTGTTGTTCTTGAATTTCCTCTTGCTTTTTTTCTAAGGTTTCTTCGAAAGCTTGTTGACTTTCTAAACTGGCTAATTGTTCTTGGGCTGCTTGAAATTCCTGTTGAGCCTGTTTATTTTCCTGTTGGGTTTCTTCTAATTTTTGTTGGTTTTGTTTACTTGGTTGACTTTGAGCCTTTTGCTGGGCTTTTTTTACTTCCTGCTGTTTTCTTTCTAGTTTCTTTTTAGCGACTTTTAGTTTAGTTTCGGTTTCCGTGATTTTTAAAGAAGTAGTTGCGGAGGGTTTGGGAGGAGGTGGAGTAGAAGGTTCGTTTTCTATTTCGGTTAATTCTTGATTGATTTCTTGCTGGATAGTTTTTAATCTT